CCAAAAGAGAGCAGATCCTTGTGATGAGGCCCAGAAAACGGCAGTCCTTTATCTTTAGAAACAGAACAGGGCACAGGGTGGGCAGCAGCTCTGCGGGCCCTTTCCCCACCGGCCCAGCAGCACGGTGGGAGGTTCTATAAATGTTAGCTGTGGACTCCCCGCCTTCCCCACCCAGCCAGGAAGGGGGCGGCCAGCTGGCAGTGTGGGAAGGGTGGGGCTCTTGCAAATCCTTTGCTTCAGGTGTCTTGTTAAATTGCCGTCAAGTCCCTGCATGACCTTGAGAAGGTTACTTTCTTCCCACTCTCAGAGCACAGGACAAGTCCACACACCGGGCAGGCTGCATTGCGTCGGGAGCCCTCGGTCTGGGCTCTCCTGAGGAGCCAAAGGCCGGTTCCCTCTGCAGACTCCTCATTCCCTCCTGGGGCAGCCAGTGCTATTTTTGTGCCTGCAGCTCACTGCAGAGGCCCAAGGTCCCTGCGAGAAAGCCCACGAGGCAGGCAAGGAGAGATGCGAGTGGGCTGCCGCCGTGCATTGGCACCGAGGCATCTTCTGCCGACAGCCCTCCTCACCGCCGCCCTCCAGCCCCCTCCCAATTAGCGAGCGGGGAGGCAGCACCCGGGAAAAGTCGGCATCTGTTAGGTAACCAGCTCAGCTGCCGTGCAGGGTGTGATGTAATCTTGGATTCCGTGGTTGCTAGGAAAATTCTGCCTGCAGTGATACTGCGTGGTCCTAGGACTGAGGCGAGAACAGAATGTTCCTGAGAAGACAGGGAAAGGATTAGTAGGGCTTCCCAGGCAAAGAAGCCCCTTCCCAAGAAGCCAGATGACTTACATTCCTTTCTAGAAGCTTATTTCCCTTTTCAGGAATAGAGGTTGTTCTGGTAAAGGCAGAACCCCATGGAGGCAGGATGGGGTGGGGGGTGACAAGGTTGGTTCCCCTAGCGGCACCTTGGCACCTTCATGCCACGTTGAAGGCACATCTTGTGGTGTTGCATCCTTGTAGTTGGGCCCTCCTGTGCAGCCCTCCCCACAGCTGGGAGCCACCTCTCTGGAGAAGCAGAGAAGAAGGAGGTCAGATCAAGGCGCTAGCGAGGGGAGACCCCCTGTGGTGTGGGCAAAGCTGGCCAACTCTATGCCGGACTCTGCTTCACATGCCAGGAGCCCCACCGTGCACCCCTCACAGCCCTCGCCCTTGGGTGGCCTTTCCTGTCTCTGCTGTTCCGATCCTCCCCCTCCCGGGGAGGATTCCTGCAGCAGCACAGAGGAGCACAGAGGAGATGTCAGAAAGGCCGGGGGCAGCCGGGCTGTTATTGTTCGGGGCACAGCAAAGAACCGCCGTTTTGAAAAAGGGGAGAGAGCAGCGAGACCCAGGGACAGGGAGTCAGGTTGGGACTGTGAAGGTCGCCTCCCTTGCCCTGCAGCGGCCGGCCGGCCGGCCACAGTCCAGTCCTTCCTCCCCAAGCAGCGCTGGGGTAGGCAGGCCAGCATTCTTAGCTCTTTCCCTCCTCCCTGCTGCCTTTTCTGGCTGCACGTCAGAGCCTGTCTTCTGGAAAACAAGACAAAGGAAGTGATTTCATGAGCACCTGGGCCAGAATCTCAAATTCAGGATTAAGAAAAATTATAATAAGGATCATGGGCATTGTCTGTCTCAGCCAGGCGGGCAGGAGGCTGGAAATGGGCCCGGCCATGCTCCTTTGAACAGGTGTTGGGTTTAGGCAAAGGATAAGCGATTGCAAAGAGGAATGGCTGTTAAAAATCATAATGAGCAAGATCCTCCAAAGGGATCAAGACATGAGTCTTGAGAAGAAAGAGGGAGACTCCCAAGGGTTCCCCAGCTTTGGTGACCTTGGAGCAAGGGAGGTGAGCAGAGCTGGGCCCTGCTCCAGGCCCAGAAGACCTGAGTCCTTGTCTTGGCTCACCTCTCAGCTGTGTGGCCTTGAGCAAGCCTCAGCCCTGCAGCCATACCCGCTAGCCAGGCTGCAGTGAAGACCAGAGGAGAGGGGGACTTCCTCAGAAGCTCTTTGTCCTCAGAAAGCACCGCGATACTGGTGAGCTGATGCTCCAACCAGGGCCACAGCCTCCTCGCTTGTCCTGCTTGCACGCAAACACTGGAAGCCCTGTCGGCAATTCTTGTCTCCTGGTCTGCAGGTGCAGAGGACGTGGTGATGGCGTTTTCCAGGTCGGAGACGGAAGACCGGAGGCAGTAGCTGCAAACCCCTTGGAACACCCTGGAAGTTGTCAAGGGCCAAGAGATCTGCGTGGCTTCTCAGCCAGCTGGTGGCAGCAAACCACCCTGCCCCACCTCCCCCTGCTCCCGCCCCGCCCCACCCCACCCCATGGCCACGCAGCAGGCCAGCATCAAGGGGGACACCAGTGGTGCGTTCACAATTGGCTTAAAGGGATGGACTCATGATTGGCTGCAGGAAGAAACCTTCTTATTTTTAAATCTTGACCAACAGAAACCTTTTATTTTTATTTCTGACTCTTATTTTTTTAAAAATTTGCGCCTCGGTTCTGGCTTCCCAGGAAGCTGTCCGAGCTCTGGTGCTTTAGTTAGGTCATTTTTTAGAAATGTGAAGAGGTTCGATTGGCTGCTTAAACTGGAAAGGGATTCTGATTGGCTGGTTAATGGGAAATGGTTTTTTTTCTTTGATTGGCTGCAGGTGTTCTGCTGATATCAACAGCTTCTCTATTTTGAATGCAGAAAACAGGGTCTGAGATGTTAGTTGTTATATTTGACTTGAAAAAAAAAGAGAAAGAAACCAAGTGCACTTTGCAATATTTATTACACGAAGAGCTTGCTGCTGCCTTCACACTTGGGGTCTGTGTTTGAAGTTGATTGGCTTTCGATTGTGTATTTGGTTTCCCATTGGCTCACCCGTGACTCCTGTTGCCATGGAGTCACCCCCTCTGCTGCTTGTTCCAGGCCGGGGTCCACCTGGAGAGTGCATTTGCTTTAATGACCGCACCTGCCTCCACCAGCAAGGGGACCCCGAGGACCCTGAGCAGGGTCCACAGCTGGAAAACAGGGCCCCCAAGGAGCTTGTGTTGTCCTGAACGAGTAGCCTGGAGCTTAGAGGTAGCCATTAGCAGGATTGATGTGCAGCGCTCCCATGAGTTGGCAGCCAGCCAGCGTCCCTGGTGAGAGCGGGAGTGCTCAGACGCTGTCCAGGCCTCGCCTCCCGCTGCGTTCAGCAGAGGTGCATGGGCTGGGCAGCTCTGTCCTCTTGTCCATCCTTCTACGTACCCCTTCCTGAGGCCTCGTCTCGGGGCTCCTCCTGTAAAGGGAAGAGCTGCTCCCAGCTGTGAGACCCCAAAAGATCCTGGAGGCCATCTAGCGGGAGTCTCTCAGAGCCCACATAAAAGCCCCAGCTTGGTTCACAAGGCCCAGGGGACCTTTGGCTCTAGACACCAACCCCTGACTTACCCCAGCCAGGCTCCCATGGTGGCCAGCACTGGATTTCTCTCACCCTCGGCTTGTGCCCTCCACAGCACTGCCTTCGGAAGAGTCTCTCTCCATATCCTCCTAGAAGGGACAGTGTCATTGTTTATTTGTGAAGTGCCCACTAGGACAGCTGGCTAGGCCTTCACTGAGCAGGTCCCATCCAGCTGGCCCCTAGACCAGCCCTAGAATCACAGAGCAACAGTCCTTGAGGGGGTGGGGCCCGGGTCTAATGTTCGTGTAGGAACCCTGAATCCTCCCACCTGCCACCGCCTTCCCAGGACGTGGTCCTCGCATCTCCCTGCGGCTCTCACAGGAGTGGGATCTGGGACGGGGATTGGAGAAAGTCACAGGCCTCAGGGCGGGGGCCTCCACCCTCCCCCTGTGGTCATAGGTGGCTGAGGCTCCTTTCTTGACCCTGGGTACCCAGAGCCAGGAGGACACACTCAGCCAGACCCTTCTTTCTCAGGGTTTGGGGCTGAGGGCCTCAGAGGCTCCTAAGTGTCATGGAGCCCACAGGACCCAAATGTCCGAGCCCTGGAGAGCCCCCTTGTCGATGGGTAGTCCACTCTGTGCTCTGGCCTCACCAGCCTTGTTCCAGAAGGAGGATATGAGCAACACAGCTAAGACACCGTGTCTTCCACCACACACTGGCCCCTGGCCCTGGTTAGCTGACAGTTAACCCGCCAAGGCCACTGATCCCCAGGGGACAAGGACAGCGGGGATACAGCTGCAGCCCAACCCCAGCAGGGGCAGCGCGTGTGATTGTGCACACATGCACATGCACACCCACATACACGTGCACACACATGCACACACACTCCCAGCTCAGCGGCCTGCAGCTCCGGCCAAGCCCCTGTGGGAAAGGTGAGTTCTTTAGTCTCTCCTGCCCCCAGGTCGTAGCATCTGGAGTCAGGTGTCAAGGCCCGTGTTGCTGGCTGCCGGCTCTCTTTGTACCTGTAGGTCACATGCAGGGCCCAAGCCCTGGTTGATCCCTGGGCAAGCTGGTTCTCTGCCTCGGCCTGCCTTTGTCACGGTCACGGGCCTCGCTCTTGTAACAGGGACGACTCAGGCCTGTCTCATGTTCTGAAGAAGAAAAGTCAGAGTGTTGCTGTGGCTTCGTATTTCAACTAAAAATTTACCTGTTGGAGAAAAAAATTAACAATAAAGATTTTTCATAGCGTGGTGTGTGAGCTGAGCTGGTTTCTCCCTTGGAGTCGGGTGCTCTGACCGAGTTCCCCACGTCACGTGGACTCTGCTGTCCTGGGGCCCTGGCTCCCCGGGAGGTGCGGCAACAAGGACAACACCAAGATTGAGAAGCATCTGCGACCTGGATGGGAGCTCGGGGTTTGGACGAATTTCCAGATCTACCCGGCCCAGCTCACGGGTCCCTGGGAAGGTTGAGCCCCTTTTTGACCTGGAGATTCTGGAAAGCACCCCAGACTCAACCGAGATCGGTGACCTTCAGGGGCATCCCGGCTTCCATGCTCACACAAGCACTCCACGAGGGTGTGGGGACCCCACCATTGTAGACACCCCAGTGGCCTGTGTGATGACACTGATCTTAGAATGCCTGCTGCAGAAGTCCAAACAGAATATCTGTCCCTTCTGTCATCCCAGAAGCAGATTTATTGGTGTTTAGCTGTATATTCAAGTTTGGAAGCTGAAATCATTTCTGCTTCAGGAATTTTTGCTTTGGAAGCATTTTCTAGAAATTTTCATTTCTACCCTTCCTAATCCCATTTTAGGTCTTTTTTTTTTTTTCTATTTACATAGAATCACTGCTTCCATTTTCTTTTCAAAGATTTGCACTGGGTCCTAGAGGTGGTGGAGTTTACAGAGTTCGGGTACCGTGGCACAGTCAGCATCATTAAATCTTGGTGTTGGAGGAGATACTAGTTCATTTAACAGCTCATGCAGTGGCCAGATGCACGAGTCCCCTCTGAAACATCTCCGAAAACAGCTTGTCCAGCCTTCGCTGGGGAACTCACTACCTCACAAGTTAGTCCCTTCTCTCTTCACATTGCTAACATTCATCCTTATATTGTGTTGCTCTGCCTTTCTCTGAAACTTCTTGTCCAGGAAGGAGTTTGTAGTCGTTGAAAGAAAGACAAAGGTTCTGTGGCCAAAAATTACAGAGAGACATATTCAAAGGCCTGTGTAATTTAAATGATGTGTGGTGCCCGCCCCTGCCCAGAGTTCTGAGTGACGCTGTCAACCTCACAATCAGCCCTTCTAAGCTGGGCCACTGAGCAGAGGGAGGGACTGGCTGGCCATGGTCCCACCTGCCAGGCCCCAGGGAGAGCTTGGAACTGGCGCTGGGAGGAAGTCCTCCTCCCAGAGCTGTCTAACCTGTTGGGCCTGTGATGGGAAGTAGACCATGTAAACTGAGTCAGCGACACTTCAGCAGATGGAGGGAAAATATTAGGGGCAGCACTGGGCTTTTAGGGTCCCTCAGTCCACACAGCAGGCAACCTTCTGGGTGTACCTTCCAAAGTGCGGTGTATACTGGGAATGACTCCAGTGGGCAGGATTGGCCAGGCTGAGCCTGGGTAGGGGCTGGGGCTGGCTGGGAAGGGAAGCAGAGCACCCTGCCTTTTGTTTCCTAGGCCTGGGGGGAAGGCGGTTGAGAAAGAATGAAGTACTTCTTCTCTTTGTCCCTTGTCCCTTGTCCCAGCAGGTGAATAGCAACAGTGTGAATCCAGGCTGTCCCTGGCCTTTGAACAGGGTCTTTTGTAGCAGGAAACATGATCCCGTCCATGGCACCTGGTCCAGTTGGGGGGGCAGGAGCCAACTTCTGGAGGGGGTGCTCTTTGGGTCCCAGGGAACCCCAGCACCACCCGCCTGCCTCTCCGGCATGGGTGGGTCCTCTCTCCAGCTTGCCTATAGCCACCCACCCCTTTCTCGCAGGATGAAGTGAGCCCAGACTAACCCAAGGCCGTGTTTAGAAAACGTTCACACCCCTCTGCACTGTCCATTGAAAGAACTTGATCTTCTGGGAGACAACTGTGTATTTAGGAGACTGGAAGGGTTTTTCGGGGGGCGGATTAGGGGCTAGTCCTGATTTAAAGAAAGGCCCCCTCAAAGGACAAGGGCAGTGAAATGCCTTTTGAATGTCAGCTGATGTCTTGCCTTCACTTTTCTCCTTGACACTGGAACTACCCACCCCTTTCACGGATGGTTCCCGGGGGGCCTGCCAGTCCTGCCTGCAGGGAAGTCGGGAGAGCTGTGGACAGAAGCCTGGAACTGAGCCACTTCCCGCCTGCCCCGCCCTGCCTGGGCCTCTTCTGAGCCCCCAGGGAAGCAGTGTGTGCAACAGGTGGCCGCCTGTTTGCACACCTGTGGAAGACCCGCCCTGCCCTGCACAGCCCTGGAGGCGACCTCAGACCCAGGATTTCCACGTCCCGGCCCTTGGTCTAGACTGTGCTGCTTCCAGTGGAAGGAGGTGGATTTTCCCAAACACTTTATACAGGTGTCTCCCGTGTCTCAGTGGGATGCTGCCCGCGTGCAGGTGCACAGCGCTTTACATACACTGTGCTCAGTAATGTGCGAGGTGAGTACGTCCTCACCTGAGCCCAGTGGCTCCCTGGGCCGCCCATCCTGGCTGCCGCCCTCACCTTTCACGGTGCTCTGAGCCTGCCTTGCAGACCCAGCAGGTCACCTCCAAGCTAAGCTGGTTTTGCTACAAGTTCCTCTTCCACTTTAAATCTTCCAGATTTATACCGTTTGCTCCCATCGTACAAATCTTTATGTCCACATAGTTGGGGGCTGGGGAGACATTATGGTTCCAGGGAGAGCTCTGGAAGCCAACTGGAGGCAGGATTGAAACCTGGATCTGCCACTTGGCAGCTGTGTGACTTGGGGCGAAGGATCTAACTGATTGAAGAAATGGAAAAAATAAGAGCATCTCTCAAGACTGTTGTTGAGAATTAATGAGATAATGCTATGACAAGCTCAGCACACAGTGCGTGGTCAGGACGTACAGTCACCATTAAGTCACCAGGGTGGGTGTCCCTCCACCCGCATTCTCTCTGCTCAAAAGTCACTCTGAGTGAGGACTTGTCTTTAGCTCTTGGCCTGGGGAGGAAGGAAGGCAGCCCCACGTTTAATAAGGTGCTTATTAAACACTTTTTTGATGAGGACGAAAGGGCCAAGATGATTCTTTGGTAGAAGGTAAGGCCAGAGCCACCTTCTGCTCCTTGCCTCCCCCAACACCCCCCCCAGCCTCTCCCCTACACCCCTAGCCTCTCCCCAGCTGAGCAGCTTTGTGTGGGGGAGGGGTATTCACGGGAGCAGAATCCCCCAACCTCCCCAGACCTGCCAGGCTGAGGGGGGTCTCCCAGACAGACTTTGTCATGCCTGGTCAGGCAG